TCAAGAAGTCGTAGATGAAGATGTATTGTACCTAAAAGGCCAAAATATCGGACAAGCGGTTATTTGTTCAGTTCTCCCCATTAGCATGCACGCAACAATCAGTTTGGGTCTCCGCTGACGGTGGATACGTAAGGTTGCAAGAGGGCGCGTGAATCTCTTACAAGGCGAACTTGTGGTGCAGCTTGGGGACAGTACGGCTGCATGTCTGTCCTCTGACCACTCAAAAGTGTGGGGTGTGGGGGTAGGTTTGAGACGCTGATGACTAAACCTGCACTGGGAGGAATAGAATTGGCTTGCATGAATGCAACGGACAGATGAGGTGGACAGGCGGCTTACATCTTGCTGAACAGACTTGAAGCGTTGTGAGCGTAGCCAAAGGACAGTGTGGTAGATGTCCAGTGTTGAGGTACTCTGATCGAGGGCGGCACAATTGTAAAGCGGAATTGGCTTTTCCGATTCCCTCATGTTCTCATAGACAGATTCGTGCCACGACATATCATCTTCTGCCGCCATCGCCTCACCTACACTCTTCTTCTCCTCCATCCCCATTACACGCTGAAGGTACCGTGCGAGCATGTCGATCGCAATGAAGGTGCCTGTTCTACCAACTCCACCGCTAAAACAGTGCATGCAGCATCGGTTAGTGAATTTGGTTCAAGCAATTATTTTGTGTGAAAGAAAATAAAGTAGAAGACACCTGCAGTGAACAAGAACGGAGTCCGTGGATTGTTTATTCACAGCATTGAAGTCGTCCCAATAAGTTTTTAAGAAAATGTAGAAGTCGTCTCTTCTGGGCACCTTAAGTTTATCCCAACATGTCAGTTGAAGTTGGATGACTCGTCGTGGAACATCGTTTTCGACAGCCTACAATGAATGAAATCATGTCTTCAGTACCATGCATTGAGGTCCACATAAAGTGATGACAGTGTGCAAAAATGATCGAGGTGAAGGGGATTCGAAGTTGCAGGAGGGTTTGATGAATGGACTGGTAAGTGAAGGCGACTCAACTGTTTCTGAAATGTCGCTTACTGTATTTCGAATATCAAATACGCGGCGGATATAACAGAGCCCGGTCTCGGTGCTCTGCAATGTGACTGCGAAGTTGCCGTAGATGGC